AATACGATAGTGGGAAATAAATGATACTAGCCAATAAAGGGAATTACACAACGCAAACCGGGACACGATATTGTCTTTCACATTCACCCTCCTTTCTTTGTAATTCTAATACAGTTAATCCTTCCAAAGTAAATTTTAAGATTCATCTTCTTAATCATCCAAGTGTCAGTGTATGTCTACTGTTGAATCACACGAATCTACACTTGCATTCTCTTTATTAGTTTTAATTGAGAGGCTTCGATGCTACATGATGTCCCGTCTCTGTGAAGACTCTGGTCAATCCTGTTTCGAATTCTGCTTCGAACACACGCTTAAAACCACACTTTTTGTATAGGATGAGACAGATTCGAAGCTTCGGTTCATGAAATGTACTCAGAGCAACACACACGCTCTCTCAAGGGTATGTTTTCCTTTGAGCACGTCGCTGTATTTCAAAGTGAATTATTGCAGTTTATCACGTCTATGATGATCACTGGTAGATAACAACGAGGAAAGGGGAACCTTATGTAAAAATATTTTTTTAAAATACGACAGAGAAAATCCAGGAACGCTTAACCCGAAAGGGGATCGAACCCTCGACATCCGAGTTCATCCCACGGCGCTCTAACCAATCGAGCCAACAGGCCTATGTTTTTGTGAAAGAATTTTCTAGCATTTAATTGTCAATTTATTTGCCTATCTATCGACCTTGATCAATTTATATAAATGTATCTATCTATCTATCTATATGTGTAGATATACATATTCATATAGCATATGAATATGCATATGTACAGTATTTGTGTGTATCTACATATGTGTATCTATAAGTGGACAGTGAACCCTCCTTATAACGCGGTTCACCTTTCGCGTTCTCGCTGCTTCACGGATTTGCATTGTGCATTGTGTTCTGTATTCTGATTGGCTAAACAGTCTCTCCGCATCTTCTCTACCTGTGTGCCAATGACGTTACGGTTTAATATGTACATGTACGTAAAACAGCTTGCCAAATTTAAGTTTGC